AAAAAAAAAGATTAAAAATCAAAAGTAAATCATGACAGGATTCAGTGGCAGGAGGCCTGCCTAGCATGCACAAGGCCCTGGGTTCAATCCTAGCATTATTTAAAAAAAAGAAAAGGGGTGGGGGAAGAGAGTGACAGCTGCATATCAGAGACATGTGCTTGAATATTTGTAGCAAAAGTGTTTAGCCAAATATTAGAAGTCACCCAAGAAATTAGAATAGAATGGATAAATACATTAGGGTAAACTCACTTAGAATACTATAAGAAAGAAAGAATAAACCACAACTATGTATATCTAGTTGGTTGAGTCTCACAAACGTGACATAAAGTAAAACACATCCTAAGATAGACCGTATGTTAGGTCTCCATTTGTTTAAGATCTAACTATTTCTGATATTTCTGAGAGAGAGAGAGAGAGAGAGAGAGAGAGTGTGTGTGTGTGTGTGTGTGTGTGTGTGTGTGTGTGTGTACTAGGGTTTTGAACTCAGGGCCTCATGCTTACTAGGCAGGCACTCTACTGCTTGAACCACTCCACCAGCCCTCAATCTATTTCTTTGGAAGCATAGGTAATAAAACCATGAAAAGCAAATAAGTGCTTGTCACAAAACTCAAGTAGGGGACACTGATCTATCAGGGACACATGGTAGGGAAAGGTGAGAAGATTTATAAGATTTTAACAGTGCTCTCTCTCAGTATGAAGGGAGGTTTCACAGGGGTTCATTTTGTAATTAATTAAATTATATAATACAGTTCTTGGTACACATTTTTTTCAAGCCCCCCCCAAAAAAAAACAAGTAACGAAATCGTTTGAATGAACAAATATGAGAAAGACTTTAGGGAAAAAATGCTAAAGAGAATGGGAAGAGAGGAATTGGACACAATAAATAGGACTTTTGAGTACTGCTTGCATAAGAGGAAGCATTGTATTAAGGTGGTATGTGGAAAGGAAAATAAGATCAAAAGAGAGCGTCCTTTTTTTAACTGGAAAACATCATGTTTGTATGCAAGGGGAATACTTAGTACAAACAGATTTCCCACTCTAGGAAGAAGAGAGAGTGATAGAGTGGGGTGGGGGTTAGAGGCATCTGCACACAAATGGCAGCAGGCATATAAGAATGCAGAGGATGGGGTACAGGTGCTGGGCGAGATGGATAGGCATGGTGAGGAGTTTATAAAAAATTCTTTGCTTTGCTTTTCTCAGAATTAGGATTCATCATATGAAGTATATTATCAAAGAGTAGATACATTTTTTAAGTTTTTAAAATGTAAAGACACTTGGGCTGGTGGAGTAGTTCAAGTGGTAGAGAGCCTGGCTAGCAAGCACAAGGCCCTGTGTTCAAGCCCCAGTACCTCAAAGAAATTAAAAAAATATATATATATATAAAATGTAAAGGCCAATTACAGTTATATTAAAACAAATATGCAAAGGAAGACATGGGTTGTTTTTTTTTTTTTTGCCATCACCAGCCCTAAGCAGCCACTAATGTGCTTTCTGTCTCTAGATTTCCTTATTGTGGTTTTTCATATGGATGGAATCATGTTTTATGATTCATCCATACTACAGTATGCGTCAGTACTTCATATCCATTGTATGGACATACCACAGTTTGGTTATTTATTTGTCAATTGACAGACATTTAGATTGCTTCTACTTTTAGCTATTATGAATGGTACTGCTGTAAATATTAGTGTGCAAGTTTTTAAAGTGGATCTGTATTTCATTTTCCTTTGTTGCATACACATAAGTGGAATTGCTTGGTCATATGATAATTCTGTTTAATCATTTGAGGAACCACCATCATCATTTAAGGAATACTTCAAAAGACTGTGCCATTTTAGAGTCCCATTAGAGATCCAGTTTCTCCACCTCCTGACCAACATTTATTAATTTTGTGAGTTTTGATTACAGCAGTCCTAGCGGGTAAAGTGATACCTTATATGGTTTTGGTTTTCATTTTCCACATCACTAATAGTATTAAATATCTTTTCACGTGCATACTGGCTATTTGTACATCTTCTTTGGAGAAATATCTATTCAGATCCTTTTCCCAATTTAATAACGTTGTCTTTTTTTTTTATTAAGATGTGAGAGTTTTTTCTAAATCCTGATATGAGTCAGGATATCAAATATATGACTTGTATATATTTTCTCTTATTTTCTGAGTTGTCTTTTCACTTTTCTTTTTTTCTTTTTTTGGTCTAACTTGGGACTTTGTGCTTGTAAGCAGGCATTCTACCACTCAAGCCACACCTCCTGTTCATTTTGCTCTGGTTATTTTAGAGATGCAGTCTTCTCAGGAACCTGAGCTCGCCTCAAACCATGATCCTCTTGATCTCAGCCTCCCACGTAGTTAAGATTATAGGCATGAACCACTGGTACCTGGCCTTTTATGTTTTCTTTTTTTTTTTTTTTTTTTTTTTTTCTTTGCCATGCTAGAAATCAAACCCAGGGCCTCACATGTTAGGCAAGTGCTACTGAGCTACTGTATCCCTAACTGCTTTTTTACTTTCTGGATGTCCTTTGAAATACAAAGTTTTTAAGTTTGATAAAGTCAAATTTATCTATATTTTGTTGGTCACTCAGGTTGTTGAAGTCATAATGAAGAATGTTTTTAACAAATTCACCATCACAAAGAATAATGTCTGTATTTTGGTTTTGTTTGGACATTAAATCTTTGATTTATTAAGAGTTGGAGTTTTTTGGTTTTGTAGGTACTGGGTTTGAACTCAGGGCTTCGTACTTGCTAAGCTGGCACTCTCCCACTTGAGCCAGTCTGCCAGCCATTTTTTGTGCTAGGTGTTTTCAGGATGGGGGTCTCTCGAATTGTTTGCCTAGACCGACCTCAAACTGTTATCCGCCAGATCTCTGCCTCCTGAGTAGCATGGTTTGGTTTTTTGTTGTTGTTGTTGTTGTTTTTTAATGTGAGTTTGGTTTGGTTTGGTTTGGTTTGTCATATGGTAAGCATCCTACTTTCTTTTTTTTTTTTTTTTTTTTTTTGTAAGTTTCAGCATAGATTTACTTTAGTATAGTAGAATTAAGTGGGGAGAAACTGCCTGCTCCTCAGGCTAGAAATAGAAATAGAAGTGAAGACTCCCACTTCATTCTTTTGTATGTGGCTATGTAGTCATCCCACATGATTTGTTAAAACTGTTCTTTTCTCTTCAATGGTCTTGGTGCCCTTGTCAAAAATCAGATAATTATAGATACGTGAATTTATTTCTGGACTCTTGGTTCTGTGTTGTTAATCTGTATGCCTGCCTTATACCAGTATTAAATTGTCTTAATAAAGTTTTGATATCATCAGGTATTGAGTCCATTTTTTTTTTTCAACATTGGGGTTTGAATTTAGGGCCTCATGCCTGCTGGGCAGGCACTCTTGCTGCTTGAACCACTCCTCTAGCCCTTTTTTTATGATGTGTTTTTTCTATTTGCTCAGGGCTGATTTGGAATTGAAATCCTCATGATCGCTGCCTCCTCAGTAGTTAGGATTTCAGGTGTAAGCCACCAGTGCCCAACCTCAACATCATTCTTTATCAAGATTGTTTTGGGTACTCTGAGTCCTTTGTAATTCCATATGAATTTTACAGTCAGTTAATTTCTACCTGGAAGTCAGCTGCAATTCTGATGGGGGTTACATTAAATCTATAGATTAATTTAGAGTATTGTCATCTTAACTATGTTAAGTTGTCCATTCTGTAAACATGGATGTTTCTCAGTTTAGCTCTTTGTCTTCAATCAACTATGTTTTGTGCCTTTCAGAGTATAATTTTTTACAGGCTTTGTTAAGTTTATTTCTATTATTTTATTCTTTTTGATGCTACTGTAAATGGAGTTGTTTTAATTTTATTTTCTGATTATTCATTGAAACTACACACAATTACAATTTATCTTTGCATAATGGTCTTATGTCCTACAACCCTCATAATTTTTTCTCAGATAATATAAAATTTTTCTCTCATAGGCAGCTTTTACTCCCTGCTTTTATCCAGTGTATGTATTTAACTTTCCTTTTTCTTTGCATGCCTTGTAATTTTTATTGGACATTTTTTATCATATATTATAGCAACACCAAGTGTCAAGCTATTTTCCTCGCGCCCCTCCCCCAACCATGTTAATTTTGTTTACATATGTGTTTGGTGACTGAATTGTTTTAGTCTACTGAGCCCTCCCTGCCTCTTCCCCAAAAATACTCAGCCTCAAGAGACACAGCTCAGTGTATTCATCACCCTGGGATGACAGTGATTTTGGTAGGACTGTCTTAGTTCTTTCCTTGACAACACCCAACTGTTAAACTCCTCTAATTGCCAGATGATTGCCCTGTTGTTTGTTTTTTTTTTTAACAATGCCCTCAAATGCCCTCAGCTGGGCGCCAGTGGCTCATGCCTGTAATCCTAGCTACTCAGGAGGCAGAGATCAGGAGGATTGTGGTTCAAAGCCAGCCTGAGCAAATAGTTCATGAGACCCTATCTCAAAAAAAACCCATCACAAAATAGAGCTCTCGAAATAAACCCCACCACAAAAAAGGGCTGATAGAGTGGCTCAAGGTATAGGCCTTGAGTTCAAACCCCAGTACCCCATAAAAAATATATGTATATTTCTTTATTAAGAGCTCTTAATAAAAAGAAAACAAATACAGCTTTAGATAAAAATAAGGTTCCTGATTATTTGTAGATTCTATAATACTGTTCTATAACTTCAAGCCATTATTCTGAAAGAATTGACAAAAGTGAGAAAACTTTAGAGATATTATAATAACCCCACATTAGTTTAAATCTCAAAAGACAATTCAAAATCACAGGAATAACTTAATGGTTTTACACTAATTGCATTTTTTTCAGTTTTTATGCCACAATATGTTCTGTTGTTTCCTTTATTTTTAATACCTTTTTTAAGAAATGCAATATTTTTCCTGAGTCTGATTGCTATCACTTTTCAAGACTCTTTAGTCATCTGTATGTCATTGTGCTGTGTTTTTGTGTTTGATTTTTTTTTTCCCACAGCCCTTCAGTCAGTTTCTTGCAACATCCAGGATCAGAACAAGTACAGTTTCCTCAAACTACATCTCCATGCAGTTCTCAGCAGCTTCAAGCCCACCAGTGTGCAGGTATGAATAGATCACTGAAAAAAACAGGTAATTGTTTTTCCACTTGAGAAATAGTTAATTTCCTATTTCTACAAAAAGGTTTGTAACTTGTAATATGCTGAGGTTTACTCAGGATGTTTAGGGTACCATGCAGAATCAGATTAGCATGTGCAGTCCACATGCTAATGTGCTTCCTCTTCTGTTGCTGCTATCACTCTGCTGCCCTCTTTATCCCCTCTTATAGGTATTGCCAGGGTCCTTTCCTAGGCCCTTCTGTCATTGCTCTAGCTCTTTCTGAGTAATCCAACTAGCCCAGAGGCTTCAACCATTGCTTTTTGTTGACACCTCACAAATCTTATTTCTGCTGAGACAAGACCATGTAGCCAGCTGTCTACTGGACGTCCCTACCTGATGGTCATAGACACATCAGATTCAATATTTTCCTCCTCTTTTTGCATCTTACTTCTCACCTTCCACATGATGACCAAAACAGAAACTTCAAAATTATAATTAACTCTCTTCTATCCTTCCCTTTCATACTCATATAGTCACCAGTTCCTCAAATCTCATACCTTCTTTCCTTCTCCACCACTGCTAATTTGGTCTATTCCTTTTATATTTTATTTGCAGTAATCTCTTCAGTGCTTTGCTTATTTCATTTTTTTCCTCACCTCCAACTTTCCTCCTCCTCAACACACATACAGAGTTTCAAAAATTATTGTCCTGCTGGGTACAGATGGCTCACACCTATAATCCTAGCTACTCAAGAGCAGAGATTAGGAAGATTTCAGTTCAAGGCCAGCCTGGGCAATAAATCGAGACCCTATCTCAAAAATACTCAACACTGGGACTGAAAGTTGTGACTCAAGCAGTAGAATGCCTGCTTTGCAAGTGTGAAGGCCTGAGTTCAATCCTTAGTCCCACCAAAAAAAAAAAAAAAAATCACCGGGCGTCATTGGCTCATGCCTGTAATTCTAGCTACTCAGAAGGCAGAAACCAGGAGGATTGCAGTTTGAAGCCAGCCGGGGCAAATAGTTTGCAAGACCCTATCTCGAAAAACCCTTCACAAAACTAGGACTGGTGGAGTGGCTCAAGGTGAAGGCCCTGAGTTCAAGCCCTAGTAAATGTGAAGCCCTGAGTTCAAACTCCAGTACAACCAAAAAGAAAATTTAAGGACCTTTGTAGATTATATATGTTGTGCTACAATCTACTAGGTCCTGCTGGGCTCTCCTTAGTAACTCTTGGCCTGCTTTTAGGATGGGTGAAATTTAGACCTAGAGTATTCATTTTAATGCCTTTGTAACATACTGCTTGTGGCACAGCTCACTAAAGCTTAAATGTGACTCACATACTTAATAGTAAAATTTTGTTTTGAAATGTGAAATTGTTTTTCTAATACCAACCAGTTGCTAAAATGTCCTGATCTGATTTTCAGCCATGCCACCACCGCCACCTGGTGGAGGAATGGTGATGATGCAGCTCAGTGTACCCAACAATCCACAGTCTCGTGCCCATTCACCCCCACAGTGGAAACAAAACAAATATTACTGTGACCACCAGAGAGGACAAAAGTGTGTGGAATTTAGCAATGTGGACAATATTGTCCAGGTAAGGTGATTTTGAAACTACGTTTTCATCACGTAAGATCAACCTATGGCTTAACACTACATTTGAAATCCTTTCAAGCAGGTTAATAAGGAAACTTGAACATTTTCTATATATTAACATTTTTATCACTATTCAAATATTGTTTTCCAACTCCTACACATTCAGAAAAAATTATCCTAAAAAAAAAAAAAAACAAAAATGAGGGAGCCAGGTGTGATGTTACACACCTGGAATCCCAACCACTCAGGAGGCTGAGGCAGCAGGATTGTGAATTTGAGGCCAGCCTGTGCTATATAGCAGGACTTTTCCTCCAAAAATAAAAAATCAGAAAGGGTTGAGAATGTAGCTCAGAGATAGAGCACTTATCTAGAATATGCAAGGCCCTCGGTTCCATTCCCAGCATGGGGGCAAAAATCAGAAGATAAAGATTTAAAATTTCAGAAATAAAATGAATTGAGTACTTTTCCTATCATTCCTATGTAAGCCATTTTATACTGCAACCAGATAGTTGGTGAGAAATCTTCCTTCATAAATGAGTCCAGTTAATAAACAGAAATAATAGTAGAAGTAGAAAATTGCCATTATGGAATCCTATTGAAATAATGGGTCAATTTAAAAATCATTAGCAGATGTAAGCCATGTGTCAGTGGCTCACACCTATAATCCTTGCTATTCAGGAGGCAGAGATCAGAAGGATCACGGTTCAAAGCCATCCTGGGCAATAGTTCAAGAGACCCTATCTCAAAAAAACCCTTTACAAAGAAAGGCTGGCAGAGTGGCTCAAGGTGAAGGCCCTGAGTTCAAACCCAGTACCACAAAAAGAAAAAAACAAAAACCATTAGCAGATGCTAAAAACATTTAAGTGTACAGGGGGGCAGGAGCTTTAGATTGAATGGATTAGGCCAACAACATTGAACCCAGTGATCAGTTGTACTCGCTGGTTAATTACAACATCACTAAAAGTGGACCAACCAGATTTTATCTACCTCTTAATGTGGTAAGGAAAAAAGCATTACTATAATGTGCTTTTATCAAAAAAGAATTTTAACCGAAATCTAATCAGTCCTCTAGGTCTAGCTCAGATTTATACGAAATACAAGAAGCAAAACAGCTGGCAGAGTGGTCCAAGTGGTAGAGCACCTGCCTAGCAAGTGTGAGGCCCAGTCTCAACAACAAAAAAAAATGTAAAACAACAAATTACATTACATTACCAGTGGCATATTTTAGTGGGTAAATCAGCCCTGTATAAGTGGCATTTTGAAATAGTAACCGAGTCTGTTACAGACTAAAAAGTACTTAAGAGTTGCAAAAATCAGATGCTGCTGCATCTGGATCTGTGGATCTTGTGTGGTTACTGAATGTTCGGAAGACATTTTTAAGTACAAAAAGGATGTAAATGAATTAACTTTGCTCATATGATAACAGTATTACCATTATATTTAAAAGAGGTCTTATCTATTAGATAGAAAGGTTTATACGCAGTAATACTGACATTAAAAATACCATGATATATGAGATTTGTTATAAGGACTTCAGAGAAAACAAAGCAAGTACAACCAAGGTTGAAGCAGGATGACGAGTACATGGAATTTCTTTACACTTCTCTGTTTACATTTTTATATACTCAAAGTTTTACAGAATTTGAAAGGTTTTTTTAATATTTAAAGTTAAGCAAGAGAAAAAAGTATTTCCAACATACACGACAAAATCATAGCAGAATAAAAAGGGTATACAGTTCATTCATAGATCTGCTCACAACTACAAATGTCCAATAGCCATTAAAAGGGTGAAACTAAAATCCTTTTTATCTATAAAAAATGAAAAATTCATGGAGACATTATTAGCAGTATTGGCAAACATACCCAGGTACCAGCTCTCTTTTTCACTCTTGTTGGTAGTATATAAATTGGTACAACTCTTTGAATGAGTTTGGTGACGTTTTTTAAAATCCAGGAGGTGCAAAAAGCCTTTGATCCACAAGTCCACTTCTGGAGCTTTGTCCAATAAAAATTGTGGAATAAGGGATTTGGGGATATTGCTCAATGGTAGAGCACTTACCTGGCATGTGTGAGGCTCTGGGTTTGATCCCCATCTCTACTGCCACAAAAAAAAAAAAAAGGTGAAAACTTATAAAAATATGTGTACAAGTATATTTAATTCTTCCCTATTATAATATAGAAAAATTGGAAACAGATTGGGAGCATAACTCAGTGGTAGAGCTTGTTCTTACTGTGCACAAGGCCCTGGGCTCAATATCTAGCACTAAAAAAAGAGAAATTGGAATACTCCTGACATTCCTTGAATGTTGAATGGAGTTGAATGGAGAAATTGGAATACTCCTGACATTCCTTGAATGTTGAATGTTTATTTAACCTTGAATGGTTAAATAAATTACTGTACCATTTAAGAAAATACCCTTAAGTGTCCATACTAAAAAGGAATAAGATACACCTACTACCCAGATGGTGGTTTTAAATGTCATTCTCAACTAAAAGGAAGCAAGGCTCCTTAGAAAACAATGGTTTCCAGGATTGGTACAAAAGAAGTACAAGATAAATTTACACCATCTGTCTGTGCCAGAAAGTAGGGAAGAAGCTAGAAGAATGATAGAGATGTGACAAAGGAGGCAGGAATAGTCTTGAAGATTAAATGATAGAAATTAATAACCACCCACTGAATAATACAAGAATCCATGAATCCACACTGATAATAAATGAATAAATGGAAGGGAAGGTGAAACTTTGTACAAAAGAATGTGAAAAAATAAATAAGGAATCATGAAGTTACAAAATCACCAACAGCAAACTACCATGGAAGAGTCATCAATAAAGTTAAAACTAGTAGATGGGTAGAAGAAAGTTTTATATGAAATAGAAGATATTTTTGTAAAGTGTCTTCCCACAAGGTGCTTAAAGTACAAAGAAAAAAATAATAACTTATGATGAAGAAACCTGGGAAGTCACCAGTTTTAAAGTGATGGAAGTAAACATCACCAGGCTATGATGATAGGTGACATCAGGTTTCTTCTGATGTGGTGTCTTGAGAAGCATCCAACATTCCAAGTAGCTAGGATTACAGGCATGACTCACCAATATCTGACTACCATGAACTTTTTATAATGCCATAGTAGGCAAGCCCAAATTGAAGGACATTCTATAAAATAACTGATCTTCAAAATGATCTTTAAAAAGGAATATTGAGGGGCTGGAGGTGTGGTTCAAGTAGTACAGTGCCTGCCTATCAAGTGCAAAGCCCTGAGTTCAAACCCCAGTACCATCCCCCCCCAAAAAAGGCTCACGCCTATAATCCTAAGTACTTGGGAGGCTAAAATTGGGGAGATCATGACTCAAGACTAGCCCAGGCAAATAATTCCTGAGACACCATCTCCAAAATAACAGAACAAAATGGGCTGAAAGTGTAGCTCAAGTGGTAGAGCACCTGCTTTGCAAGCACAAAGCCCTGAGTTCAAACCCTAGTTCTTAAAAAAGAAAAAAAAGCAGACAAGAGAAGATTGAAGAGCCATGACAATTTAGTAAAACTCTTGATTCTCTAGTATGGATTCTGGGATTGAAGGGGAAATTATTTCTTCTCTTTTGCTATAAAAGACATTAGTGGGACACTTGGCTAAAGTTGAATAAACTCTGTAGGTTAGATAGTGCCAGGGAGGGGAGAGGTGACCCAAACACTGTATACACATGTGAGTAAATGTAAAAATGATAAAACAAAAACAATGATAGTGCTGTATTGTTAATTTCCTGCTTTTGATGATTCTATGGTGATTATATAAGAAAATGTTCTTGTTTTTAGGAAATAGACACTAATTATTTTGGGGTAAAGAGATATCGTGTGCGGTTTACTCATTTTCATACACATACACACACAGTGTGCACATCAGTATTGCAGTCAGCAGCATGCTGTGTATACAGCACTTAGTCCTGCAAGGTTATAATGGTGGGGCTGAGGGTGTGGCAGCAGAAGGGCACTTGCATATATGAGGCTCTGGATTCTGGATTCAGTCCCAAACACAGAAAAAAAATACTGGACACTTTTGAGCTGAGAGTGTAGTTCAGTGGTAGAGCATTTACTTAACATGCACAAGACCCTGGGTTAAATCCCCAGCACTACCAAAATTTTAAAAAAAAATTATAAAAAAGCTGAAAACTTCCTATCACCTAGTAGCATTGTAGTTGTCCAGTTTATATAAGTGCACTCACTCTATGATATTCACACAATATAATCACCTAATGACACATTTCCCAGAAAAATCCTCATTGTTAAGTGACACATCTATATGTATAGAAAAAGAAAGAAAACACATATTTATTTATTTATTTATTTATTTATGACACTGGAGTTTGAACTCAGGGCCTCACACTTGCTAGACAGGTACTCTACCACTTGAGCCACTCCACCAGCGCCAACAAAGGTAATTTTTTAAATAAAAAAAAAAAAGGTAATAAAATGCTCAGGAAACCTGATAATTGTTTGTACTCTCTTTGCAACTATTCTCTAATGACAAAATTACCTAAAAATGAAATGTTAGCACTCTTAGCTTCTCAGGAGGCAGAGATCAGGAGGGTTGCAGTTTGAAGCCAGCCTGGGATTAGTTCACCAGACCCTATCTCAAAAAATCCCATCACCAAAAAGGGCTGGTGGAGTGGCTCAAGGTATAGACCCTAAGTTCAAACCCCGGTACCTCAAAAAAAAAAAAAAAAGAAAGAAAGAAAGAAATGTTAAACATTTAATGTAGGAAAGAAAGAACAAGATAGATACACTCTCTCTTGCAAAAGAGATAGTATTGCCAAGGAACAAAGCAAGTTTCAAAAATATGATATATAGTCTGTTCCTATTTTTGTAAAAAAATGCATGAGTAAAATTAGAAATAAGGGCAAAATAGTTTCTGCTGGGTATTGAGGGGGTAGGGGGGAGAGGGAGGGGGCGGAGTGGGTGGTAAGGGAGGGGGTGGGGGCAGGGGGGAGAAATGACCCAAGCCTTGTATGCACATATGAATAATAAAAGAAAAAGAAAAAAAATGCATGAGTGCATATACTAGAAACAGTGATGATCATGTTTACTTTTTGGAGTTGTAGATTATATATTTCTATTTTTGAATTTTTTTATAATGAGTACATATTTATAATCAGGGAAAATAAAAATTACTGTCCAAAGGGACATTGCAGACTGCCTGCCCCAAGTGTGACCACTTTCTCCCTGTGTTGTGATTGCAGCACAGCCCTCAACTCAGCAGCCCCATCATTTCACCAGCACAATCACCAGCACCAGCTCAGCTGTCCACTCTGAAAACTATACGTCCCTCTGGACCACCACTTTCCATCATGCCCCAGTTTTCTAGACCTTTTGTCCCTGGGCAGGGTAAGTATACGTGAAACAAGTCACAAGACACCCTTTTCCAATCATCTGGCAATTTATCTTGACACTGCTTCCTTTCAGTTTTCACAGAACTACATTTTCACCTTCCCTCAGGCATGTTTATTTATTACTGTATACTCTTCAACCTTAAGGTTTTGTTGCTAACTAATAAATACTAATCCAGTAATAATTTCTAATTGATTTATTTTTTTTCATTACTGGGGTTTGAACTCAGAATTTTATGCTTAACAAGCACTCAATCATTTGAGCCACACCCCCACCCCTATAATCGATTCCTTTGTAGTAATAATATACAATGTTTTATATTTGTTCTGTATTTCTAATTTTTGTATTAGAATAACATAGATTTTTTTTCAAAAAATTTCCCAACATTTTATTGAGAGTAGGCTGTACCCCATATGTACAAAGATGAATAATGAAACGTCCTTTTTTTTAAAACTCAAGGTTTATACCTTGAGCCACTCCACCAGTCTTGAGCCACTCCACCAGTCCTTTTTTGTGATGGGTTTTTTCAATATAGAGTCTCTGAACTATTTGCCTGGGCTGGCTTCAAACCGTGATCTTCCTGATCTCTGCCTCCTGAGTAGCTAGGATTACAGGCATGAGCCAGCATGAAACGTCCTTAATGTCACCATCTCTTAGTCTCCCTGGAGAAATAGACATGTATGTGGATGATTATGAACTAATATGGAACCAGCCACCCATTTTACTTCCTTTAATTTAACCTAAGTGTAATGCACACAAAGATTTATATACAAAAGAGTTTATCCCATAGCTAAAAATTTCAAAGCAAACTAAATTCAATCAGTGAGAAATAGTTAAATTACAGTTATAGCCATATAAGTAATGCTATACAGCTATCTAAAAATTATTTTTGAAAGAATCATTAAAAGGGAATGTACTTACAATATGGTGAGTGATTTTGAAAATACAAGTTACACAGACATTTCAAAAAAGAAGATATACAGCCAGGTGCCAGTGATCCTAGCTACTTAAGCCTGTAACCCTAGCTACTCAGGAGACAAAGATCAGGAGGATTGAGGTTGGAGACCAACCCGGGCAAATAGTCCACAAGACCCTATCTCGAAAATACCCAACACAAGAAAGGGCTGGTGGAGTGGTTCAAACCCCAGTGCTGCCAAAAAAAAAACAAAGTTCATTAAGTCCTTGAGAAGTTACCCACATTGTCAGTCATTAGGAAAATTATTAAACTAGAATAAAAACTGGAGATGTGGCTCAAGTGATATAGTGCCTACCTTACAAGCACAAAGCCCTGAGTTCAAACCCCAGTACTGCAAAAAAAATAATAATAATTAATTTCAGGCTGGGATATAACTCAAGTGGTAGAGTACCTGCCTAGCAGCACATGGCCCTGAGTACAAACCCCAGTACCACTATCCCCCCAAAAAAGCATCCTAAGAGCAATAAATGCAATTTTGACTTAAAGAGAAATTAAGACCAGGCTCAGGACCTACAATGTAAATATATCTATTAAGTAAAACTATAAGGATATATGTGAATAATTAATAGTGAACTTGGGAAGATACAGAGCTTAATGTTTATCCAGAGTTCTTTCTGTCCCCTGAAATGCAAGTTTTTAATCATCATAGAAAAATGTGGATTTCACCCTCACAAGTGGATAGAATGAGTATTATAGTTATTTTGATGGATTTTATAAGGGATGTTAGGATTTAGTATCATAAAGTTTTCTTAGATTCTGTATCTTCAATTTTTTATATTTATCCATTTTTTTTAATTTTATTTTTTGAACAGATAATACATCGACATTGGTCAAAAATTTATTCTTTTAAAGTATAAAGAGAAGTTGCTCTCCATCCTATCCCCTATCTACCCAGTTTCCACCTCTCACCCTCCTTCATAGCTACTATTATTATTCCTAATCCTTTCAGAGGTTTACTCTGACTCTTTAAAGATATGGAAAATTTCAAAAAAAAAAAAAAGAAGAAAAATACGTCAGTTACTGTTCTTTTATTCTGCTAAATATGTTTCTCCTGTTTGTCTTCATTTTGGACAATTTGGAAAACTCTGGGAAGTGCATTATAATTGAGGTGAGAAAAACCATAATGTTTTTATTGACTTTTAGGAGATGCCAGGTTTCCATTACTTGGCCAGCCACTGCAGTACAACCCTCCCACTGTTCTGCATGGACACATTCCAAATCAACAGGTATGAGGGGCAGCTCTCTATAGAACAACATATTCTTTTGCTAAGTATGTTGAGGGCATTGAAGCCCTCTTGGCACTGCCTGAGAAGTGCTATGTGTACTTCCAACAGCTGCTTTTTTGAAGTTTTTTTTTAAGTAAAAAATTAGGAGAGACTAGCGAACAATACAGTAAGAATGGCCAAAGGTGACCCCAAGAAACCAAAGGGCAAGATGTCTACTTATACCTTCTTTGTGCAGACATGCAGGGAAGAACATAAGAAGAAAAACCCCGAGGTCCCTGTCAATTTTGCAGAATTTTCCAAGAAGTGCTCTGAGAGGTGGAAGACAATGTCTGGGAAAAAGAAATCTAAATTCGATGAAATGGCAAAGGCAGATAAAGTCCACTACGATCAAGAAATGAAGGATTATGGGCCTGCTAAAGGAGGCAAGAAGAAAAAGGACCCAAGTGCCCCCAAAAGACCTCCATCTGGATTCTTCTTGTTCTGTTTGGAATTCCACCCCAAGATCAAATCCACAAACCCTGTCTTCTCTATTGGAGACATGGCGAAAAAGCTGGGTGAGATGTGGAATAACTTAATGACAGCAAGAAGCAGCCATACATCACCAAGGCTGCAAAACTGAAGGAGAAGTATGAAAAGGACGTTGCTGACTATAAGTCGAAAGGAATGTTTGATGCAAAGGATCCTACTCAAATTGCTCGAAAAAAGGTGGAGGAGGAAGAGGAAGATGAATAAAAAAACTTTATCTGTCTCCTTGTGAATGATGCCTTAGAGTAGGGGAGCGCGGTGGTTGAGACATCTTGTATTTGAGGTGTGACTGTTGCCCTCATTAGGTTTAACTACAACATTTGATCACGATCATACTGTAGTCTCTCAGAGTGCTCTAAAGATTGTCAGCAGTTTCCAGGAAGTGGCTGGGTGTCCGGAGCAGCCCGAAACTGTATCAAAGTTGTACATATTTCCAAACGTTTTTAAAATGAAAAGGCACTCTCATGTTCTCCTCACTCTGTGCACTTTGCTGTTGGTGTGTCAAGGCATTTGAAGATGTTTCTGGCATTTTCAACTTGCAAGGTGGCGTTAGTTAACTCTATGATTATTGGCTAGAAATCCTAAGTTACCAACTGTACATATCTATAGTTTGTAAAAACAACAGAACAACTGAGACAGACTCTTAATGCTCCTTGCTTGACGTTGAGGCTGTGGGGAAAGATGCCTTTTGGAGGGGCCGTAGCTCAGGGCGTGCACTGTGAGGCTGGACCTGTTGACACTGCAGTGGGCGTCCATTTAGCTTTAGGTTGTCTTGTTTTTGTATATAGTGACATAGCATTTGCTGCCATTCTTAGCTGTGGAAAAGGGGAGGGGGCAGCTGGCATGAGAAGTGTTTGGATTTCTTTCTTTAGTTAAGTGTGGTAGATTTTAAATTGTTTTTAAACTGTAGAACTCTTCATTGTAAGCAAAGCAAAGAAACACTGCATCAATGATAGTTCAGGAACCTTCTGTACTTAAACCCAATTTGCAATATTCTGTTATTTTTTGTATGTTTAGAATGTTGAAATGTTTTTGAAGTTAAATAAATAGTATTCCTTTAAAAAAAATTAGGTGGAATATGGTCTTGGATAGTCATTTTAAGGAAGATCACTTAGTCCAACTTAAAGAAGCTGATACCCTTCATGTACTGACTAAAAACTGCTGAACCCATATTTCTGGATCAGACTGTGGTTTTGGACAGACTCAGTAAAAATGAGGGCCCCTGGCCAAATTTTCATGGGTAACCAGTGGAGCTGCTGGTGTCCCATCTTGCTTTCAGACGTCCAACAGGACATGCCTGTGCTCTTCAACTTCTTGAGGCAGTTTTCTGCCATCTGCTTTATAACTTAGTACTGGCCCCATGAAGAGCAGAGCAAGGGATTAGGCACTGGCTGCTTGGCTGAGCAGTGGTTCACTAGTGTCACTGAAAGGCAATCATCAGGTGACGGGTCATAGTGAGGGAGAGGCACCATTGCTGCAGAGTAGAATCCTGAAGAACTGGGGCTGGTTTATTTCACTTAAGTGCAAAACCCAAACTAAGTGCTAAGTTTTTAAGCATTATAAACACATTTTTTCAACATTATCAAACTTAATTCTCATCATTTGTGGGTTTCCAGGGTCAGTCTAGCAGCAGGCATGGAAACCGAGGAAGGAGACAAGCTAAGAAAGCTGCGTCCACGGACCTTGGAGCAGGAGAAGCAGGTCTGTCCTCAAAGGGCAACTGTATGTGGGTCTACAGCCTAGTGACTGTGTTGGAATATAATACACCAGAAATGGGCTTTCCTCTTCCTAGGTTCCTGGAGTGGGGGGAAATCCTGGAAATTATGTCATGTTCGGTTTAGGGTTCTTGGATATGTTCTTAACTCACGTCTCAGTTCAGATGTGAGTGTATATATAGTAAGACACAGGCGGGTTTGGGAGCAATGAAGGGACCACAAGGAGAGGAGGTGTCTGAGAGGGACAGGTAGAGCAACAGCCTGGTGTTCTTTGAGAAGGGGTTGTCCTCACACACATGGGAGACATTAGAAGGTGTCACCTTTATAATGTGCTTTCACCTTTAAATGCAAACTCTCTTCTCAATAGCCTTGGGTAGTTAGGGAAAATGTTATCTATTTATACAGGAACAGAAGTTCAGGAAAGCTGTACCTGAGATCACTTTCGAGAGAAGCCACTGTTGAATGTTAAATTTAATCTGTGCAACTGTCTGTGAAGACTGAAACCAGTAGCTTAGCCCTGTTAGCTCCATATCCTTGCATAAGTGGCAAGTAAAAATGATTTAAAAGGTAGCCAAGCTAATTATAATTTTTCAATGTTTGAATAGTTTCAGAAACTTGTGGTCATTTCCTGTGTCATATTTGGATCTGCAATACTTCTTGCCCAACTTTTTTGATAACAGATATATTAATTCTATACTTCTTCCATTCTAGTTGTTGGGAAGGTCTTGGAAATTACTGAACTACCAGATGGAATAACTCGCATGGAAGCTGAGAAGCTTTTTGGGGAACTCTTTAAAATTGGGGCCAAGATCCGGTGGCTCCGGGACCCTCAGTCCCAGCCCCAACTGCGTCGTCATCCCCTCTGCTGTGGCAGCGGAGACAGCACTGTCAACCCTGAACGCTCTAAACCCAGTGACTTGGCCTCTACGTACACCGTCTTAGCCACATTCCCCTCCATTTCAGCTGCACAGAGTGCATTGAAGAAACAAATTAACTCGGTTAACAAGTTTAAGCTGAGAACAAGCAAGAAGCACTATGACTTTCACATTTTGGAAAGGGCAAGTTCTCAGTAACAGAGCCACTTTTGGACCCTTCAGTCTAAGGTTCCCCCGCCCTCTCCCATCTCTGATTGGCTTGGTAATTGGAGCTTCTGTTAACATTATAGAGACTCCTAGGATGTGTGGTCATGGTGTTATAGCTTTTGAAGGCCAGTAATTCAGCAAAGCGGGGGTGGGGGGGAGATGCATATTTTACCCCACTGACTATAGGAATCCACACATGAATAATACAGAGTTAGCAGCATTTTCTAAAGAAATGCTGTTCAAATGCCTCCTAACTTTTATAGTTATTTTGTTTTATATTTCTGAATTCTTGTATCAGATCCAAAGCTCTATTGTACAGCAAATTATTCTTCAAAGTGATTCCAAACAGTTGCAACCTATATTTCTTTTTGCAGCCAGCACAATGTGACCCAACTTAGATGTGGAGGGGGGAGAAGAATGCAGAAATGGAATAATGAAGTCAAAACCACGTACTGTCCTTTTGCGGGGCTGAGGGTGCTAAGGAGAGTCCACAAATAGATTACTCTTCCCCTGAATCTCTAAACACAGAAATATTTTCCAGAAAATACAGAACTCCCCCAAAGGATCCTTTCCTTATTCATTTAGGTAGTATGAACATTAAGTGTAAAGTAAATTATGTTATAATGCCTCTTAATCAAACCACTTACATTCAAGGGGGAATAGGAATCATACTAGGCAGGAAATACTTCTACTTTTTTTTTCTTTTTTAATGTCCCTCCAAAACCAAATGCCACTTACCTGCATTCCCCTCCTTGTGGAATTTTTATCATCTAAAGAAATGCATCTGATGAGTGCTGGAAACTTCTTAAGTGGTTTAAATTTTGTTCTCATTGTTTGCAGCAGATTACTGGACATCAAATATTCATTGCACTTATGAACAGGGAACCTTCTTTTCAATTTCTGTGTAATTTGCAAGGCTGTACAATGTGCTGATGCAAGCCTTTTTCAGTTCAAGAAAATAAATGTTTACAAGTATAGGCCCACTTTGTCCTTTTTTAAATTAAAAATATCTGTATAATGAGACAACTAAAGAAAGAACATTATCTTTGGCTAGATAAATAATTTGTTTGTAGCTTATGTATTTTGCACCTAGTTATGCAGCTAAGTTCAAATACTTTCTCCATTGGTCAACCAAGCAGAGAAATCTAAAAGTTGGGGTCTGGCAGCTGTGACATGCCTGTAACCTGATTTGCATCTAGCCCAGACTAGGATTTTACTGTGAGACTGAAGAGCAACGGGTGTCTCTAGACTCTGATGCAGGTGCGCACTCATTTGAGAATTTGCAAAGTCCCCCTTGGTCCCAGAAGCACCAAGTGGCTAACATTTGTAATCCTAGCTGCTCAGGAAACAGAGATCTGGAGGATCATGGTTGGAAGCCAGCCCAAGGCAAAGAGTATGCAAGACCCTATCTAAAAAAATGCATATATATATATATATAGATATACAGATACATATAGATATATAGATATATAGATATCATAAAGCAGGGCTGGTAGAGTGGCTCAAGTGGTAGAGTGCCTGCCTAGCAAAGCCTAGCAACCATGAGGCCAAGTTCACAAAAAAAAAAGTTGAAACTGCCAAAGTTACAAAGAGGGTGCAATAAAAAAATTTAAAAATTTTTTAAAAATACAGATAACTAGCATCTGTTCTCAGTATACAATCTACCTCATACTGTTGCTCAGATCAAGAAAGGTAACTAGTTTTTTTAAAAATGTTAGTAATGATCCAGAAAGTAAGAGGCAAGCCAAGAGAAAGGGTATGAAAACAGAAGGAAGTTTCCCCAGAAGGCAGTAGTAAGCTACTGGTGCTTTGGGAGGGTAAGTTAGGTGAGAACACTGATGCAGTCACTGCACTTGATGGGACTGACATGCTTAGCATCTTGAAAGCCATTGGAAGTTGCTAGGGACAGAAAGTGTTCAGAGGGAACTGAGGAGAAAATTGGATTTGAGGAGAAAGAAACAGTGACTATTGATTTGTGTAACTGTTCATTGAGGTTGGCAAGGACGTACAATGATACCCGAAGGGGTACCTAGATCAAAAAAGAATTGTTTTTCTTAAATTCAACTGGATTATATGCCTTACTCCTGGGAGATGAGAGATTGAATAATATTGGGACCAGATACAAAGGCCTAACAGACCTTGTTAAGAAGTTTAAGAGCTGGTGGAATGGCTCAAGTGGTAGAGCACCTGCCTAGCAAGACTGAAGCACTGGGCTCAAACTCCACTACTGCCAAAAAAAAGAAAAGTTTGTGTAAACCAGACATGGTGGTACATTTCTGTAATCCCAGCTACTTGGGAGGCAGAAATCAAGGAGGATCATGGCTCAAGACTAGACCCAATCTCAACAAGTTAGGTGTGATAGTGCACAGCCATAATCCCAGCTATTTGCGAAGCCTAAGGAGAATTGTATCCAGGTTGGCCCCAAGCAAAAATGTGAGACCCTATCCTAAAGATAACTAAAGCAAAAAAAGGGAGCATGGCTAAAGCATGAAGCGCCTCCCTATCAAGCAAGAGGCCCCAAGTTCAAACCCCAGTGCCACCAAAAAACATGACTTAAAACATTTTAGGCTTAGAATAATGAAGGCTTGGTATAAAAGTCAGACTTCCATGAAAAAGAAAATTGACAGCTGGGAGGAAATTGATGAATTTTTATTTTTTAACTGCAGGAAATCAAATATAAAGTAGAGCTGTAATTAGAGTCAGCATCAGAGCAACAAGTAATGATTTTTTTTTATTCATATGTGTATACAATGTTTGAGTCATTTCTCCCCCCTTCCCCCGCCCCCTCCCTCTCCCTCCCTACCCCCTTGCTACCAGGCAGAAACTATTTTGCTCTTATCTCTAATTTTGTTGAAGAGAGAGTATAAGCAATAATAGGAAGGACAAAGGGTTTTTACTAGTTGAGATAAGGATAGCTAACAGGGAGTTGACTCGCATTGCTTTCCTGCACATGTGTTACATTCTAAATTAATTCTTCTTGAACTAACCTTTTCTCTAGTTCCTGGTCCCCTTCTTCTATTGGCCTCTGTCACTTTAAAGTTTCTGCGTTAGTTCCTCTGCATTGAGGACATCAAATGCTATCTTGTTTTTTGGTTTTTTTTTTTTTTTTGAGTTTCTTGCCTATCCTCATACCTCCCTTGTGAGGTCTCGCCTCATCATGTGATCAAAGTCTAATCCCCTTGTTGTGTTTGCCCTTGTTCTAAAGTCCAAATATGAAGGAGAATATACGATTTTTTGGTCTTCTGGGCCTGGCTAACCTCGCTCAGGATGATGTTCTCCAGTTCCATCCATTTATCTGAAAATGATAAGATTTCATTCTTCTTCATGGCTGAGTATTCCATTGTGTATAGATACCATATTTTCTTAATCCGTTCATCGATAGTGGGGCATCTTGGCTGTTTCCACAACTTGGCTGTTGTGAATAAGTGCTGGAATAAACATTGGAGTAACCTCTGTCACAATCCTTTGGGTATATCCCTAAGAGTGGTGTTGCTGGATCATATGGCAGATCTATGTTTAGATTTTTAAGAAGCCTCCAAATTATTTTCCAGAGTGGTTGTACTAGTTTGCATTCCCACCAGCAGTGTATAAGTGTTCCTTTTTCCCCACATCCTCACCAACACCTGTTGTTGGTGGTGTTTCTGATGATGGCTATTCTAACCAGGGCGAGGTGAAATCTTAGTGTGGTTTTGATTTGCATTTCCTTTATGGCTAGAGATGTTGAGCATTTTTTCATGTGTTTTTTGGCCATTTGAATTTCTTCTTTTGAGAAAATTCTGTTTAGTTCACATGCCCATTTCATTATTGGTCATTAATTTTGGGCAAGTTTACTTTTTTGAGTTCCCTATATACTCTGGTTATCAGTCCTTTGTCTGATGTGTAGATGGCAAATATTTTCTGCCACTCTGTGGGTGGTCTTTTCAGTTTAGAGACCATTTCTTTTGTTGAGCAGAAGCTTTTTAGTTTTCTGAAGTACCATTTACCTATGCTATCTCTTAGTTGCTGAGCTGCTAGGGTTCCATTGAGAAAGTCCTTGCCTATACCTATTAGTTCCAAAGTATTTCCTACTCTTTCCTATACCAACTTTAGAGTTTGTGGTCTGATATTAAGATCCTTGATCCATTTTGAGTTAATATTGGTATAGGGTGATAAACATGGATCTAGTTTCAGTGTTTTGCAGACTGCTAACCAGTTTTCCCAGCAGTTTTTGTTGAAGAGGCTGTCTTTTCTCCATCGTGTATTTTTAGTGCCTTTGTCAAAGATAAGTTGGTTATAGTCGTGTGGCTTCATATCCAGGTCCTCTATTCTGTTCCACTGGTCTTCATGTCTGTTTTTGTGCCAGTACCATGCTGTTTTTATTGCTATTGCCTTGTAATATAGTTTTGAAGTCAGGTATTGTGATACATTCAGTATTGTTCTTTTTGCTGAGTATTGCCTTGGCTATTCGTAGCCTCCATATAAATTTAACAGTAGATTTTTCAATCTCTTTGATGAATGTCATTGGGATTTTGATGGGAATTGCATTAAACATGTAGATTGCTTTTGGGAGTATAGCCATTTTTACTATGTTGATTCTACCAAACCATGAGCATGGGAGATCTCTCCACTTTCTATAATCTTCCTCAGTCTCTTTCTTCAGGAGTTTATAGTTTTCATTGTAGAGGTCATTCACATCCTTTGTTAAGTTTACTTCTAAGTATTTGATTTTTTTTTGAAGCTATTGTAAATGGAATTATTTTCATATATTCTTTTTCAGTTTGTTCATTATTAGTGTATAGAAATGCTAATGATTTTTCTCTGTTGATTTTATATCCTGCTACCTTGCTATAGCTCTTGATGGTGTCTAGGAGCTTTTGAGTAGAGTTTTTTGGGTCTTTAAGGTATAAGATCATATCATCTGCAAATAGGGATATTTTGGCAGTTTCTTTACCTATTTGTATTCCTTCTATGTCTTCTTCTTGCCTAATTGTTCTGGCTAGGAATTCCAGTACTATGTTGAATAGGAGTGGAGATAGTGGACATCCTTGTCTCATTCCTAATTTTAGGGGAAATGTTTTCAGTTTTTCACCATTAAGTATAATGCTGGCTGTAGGTTTGTCATATATAGCTTTTATAATGTTGAGGTACTTTCCTTCTATTCCTTGTTTTCTTAGAGCTTTTATCATGAAATGGTGTTGGATCTTATCAAAGGCTTTTTCTGCATCTATTGAGACCATTAAGTATAATGCTGGCTGTAGGTTTGTCATATATAGCTTTTATAATGTTGAGGTACTTTCCTTCTATTCCTTGTTTTCTTAGAGCTTTTATCATGAAATGGTGTTGGATCTTATCAAAGGCTTTTTCTGCATCTATTGAGATGATCAAGTGGCTTTTGTCTTTGCTTCTGTTAATGTGCTGTATTACATTTATTGATTTGCGTATGTTGAACCACCCCTGCATTCCTGGAATGAAGCCTACTTGGTTGTGGTGAATGATCTTTTTGATGTGTTGTTGAAGTTGGTTTGCCATTATTTTGTTGAGGATTTTTCCATCAATGTTAATTAAGGAAATTGGCCTATAGCTCTCCTTTTTGGAGGTGTCTTTGCCTGGTTTTGGGATAAGTGTAATACTGGCTTCATAAAATGTGTTAGGCAGTTTTCCTTCCCTTTCTATTTCGTGGAACAGTTTAAGGAGGGTTGGTATTAGTTCTTCTTTAAAGGTCTGATAGAATTCAGCGAAGAATCCATCAGGTCCTGGACTTTTCTTTTTAGGAGACTCTTGATTGCTGCTTCAAAGTAATGATTTTTTGCAGTTAATCTCTAAATTGTCTTCTTAACTCCTGCAGCAGAAATCCTAATCAACCCAGACCTTTTACACATGTATATAGACAATGAAAATAACAACGTTCATTAGAAAAGGAATATGCTTTCAATAGACTGAAAACCAGGCATCTCTAGAAGGAGAAGGAAAATGACAATTATTTTACCCTGGCACAAATGTTTATTGAATGGAAAGGCTTGGAGCCCTAAGTCCTCCCTAGGGTAGGGTACATCTGCAGATTTAGAAATTTAAATTATTTTTGGGTCCACCTGACTCCTAGATTATGGCTTTCAGCCCTGGGTCTTTGTTTTGTTATTAAAAGACTTTTTTGTTGTTACTGAGTTTTGAACCCATGGCCTCATTCTTGCTAGGCAGGTGCTCTTCTGCTGGAGACATGCCACCAGCCCTGTTTCATGTTGAGTATTGGGGTCTTGTGAACTATTTGCTGGGCTGACTTCCATCTGCAGTCCTCCTGATCTCTGCCTCCTAAGTAGCTAGGATTACATGCATGCCTGGCCTAAATTAAAGATCTTTTGTTCTTTTGTTTGCAACCCACCTTAGGGTGGGTAGGAGACTCAAAAACACCTTGTGAGCCAGGTGCT